TCTGCACTCCTGATAAAGCTGTGTGTAGTATCAGCACGAAAATCGTGCCTAAGATGTAATGGAGAAGCCAAGCTCCAAGTTCCAACTCTGAGTTTTATATTTTTCCATGGAAACGATTAAGATGAGTGGGAAGAGATGTCCTCCAGCAGATTAACATCCTGGTCTACCTCAATGGAGAGAGGCCTGCTCAGGGGGCAGTTTAGAGCAGGAATCCTTACCTTGCTGCACAAGGAACCTGACCTCCTTGGTCTAAATCAAGGATTGTGAATACAATATACCCAAATTCCTTGGCCCTGCACTCTGCTGCTGTGGCTCAGTTTTCCTGTGCAATGACAAATTCCCACGATACAGTAGGTGCATAAACAACATCAAGATCAAATGCAAAGCATCTGCCAAGACACTTTCTGACAAGTAACCAGGTACGCACAAACGTATCCTCCACGGAATGGATGCAAGAGGGGGAAAAGCATGTAAAGAGAGGACAAGGCACTGTAAGGTTTCGGGAGGACGGGGAGGCTGTTTGGTTGTGTGTTTTTATTTTTTTGGTTTGTTTGTTCTCCTCCCCTCCTGAGCCTTATAAAACTTCAGCAAAATTAGCTGGGAAATTCTAGTCTGAATGTGAGTTATAAGAGGAATGATAAAAAAAAATCAAACTCAAGCTTTGCCAAGTCTTTAAATAAAACCTAATCTCTGGGCCTAAACACATCCTGCTCCACTCACTGCTGCAGAACCCCGCTTTTCATACTGGGACCTACAGACCCTGCAGATCGAAGAGGCTCCTTGCCTGGGCTCAGCAGCTCACGATGAACAGCAGCAGTTTAGCACGTGCCATGCAGCAGCCTAGGTTGGAGAACATTTTGAAGCAATCTCCATCCCACGGGAAAAAGACTAGGGACCAGCAAAAGACAAGAGACTGAAAAGCATTAGGGAATTTTTACCCAGGAAAGAAATGATGGGCTTTCAAATCCCAGCCTGCTCCCAGCGGGACACAATCCAGGCGTGCAGTGAGATGTGAGCCCTGAGCAGGGCACGGGCACACGCAGCAGGAGGAGCACAAGGGCCAGGCGAAGCTGTACAAAGGCTGCTGAGCATCTTCCTCTGCTCTGCAGAAATGCTACACGGAACGACTGACTTACACTACCGAGCTACCACAGGCATGAGTTAACTCAGCAGGGCAGCATGGATTGAAGCATCCTTGCAGGAGCTCCTTCTGGAAGCGTGCTCCCCACCTTCCTCACTAGTACGTGCAGCGGGAGATGGCAGGGCTGTGTTTCCCTTCCTCAGCCTCTTGTTCACCTGCTGACAAACCCGTGGCAATGCAGGCTTCTGCAAAAACGCCCAGATCTTCTAAAGCACAAACCGAAAACATTTCGGCTCCAAAATAATCAGAAAAACATTGTCGCGTAAGCACAATAAGGAAATAAGGGAGGGGAGGTTCTCTGCGGGTGACAAGACAACAGAGCAGCAAACGAGACTAAAATGAAAGCATGAAATCCTCACTGGAATTCCTTTCCTACTGCTAGGATGTTTCTGAGGGGTTGAGTGGGACATCTGTAAACTTATATTACATTTCTGAAATTCACAGCAGGCTGGGGAAGCATAGAAAGAAAAAAAAATAAAAGGTGCAAAAGATTGAGGCAGTTCTGCTGTAGGAAAGGAGTCACAGAACCGTGGAAGCTTCTGCTGGGCTTGACCAAAGGCAGAGGAATGGAAAAGCAGCACACATGACCATATCTGGCATATTTTCCTAGGAAATCACCTTGCTCCCTTCAAAAGATGTGAAAAAAGGGGGAAAAATGGCATAATCACTGCAATTTTTATGGATTTTCTAGCTTTTTTTGTTTCTCTTCCTAAAAGGAAGCTGAAAATTGATTCCACTGCTAGACTCTATCTTTTCTTGTGAAAAGTAACACTAAATGATCTAACCAAGGTAAAGCTGCTTAGCAATTGCTAAACACAAACTGTGTCAAGCACACGGAAGAGCAGCAATTCTCAATCCCATTCAGAAATTATTTTGAGCTTCTGGGAAGGCCAAACTTTTATCTGTCAGAGAAGGCAGCCAGAACCTGAGTTACAATACCTGACTGAAGAACAACCTGATGAAGTAAAAAGATAAAAAATGAAAAAAGTTATGGAACATTCTCGAATTTGGAAGTCCTAAACAGGAACTGTGTTCTCCGTGCGCACACGTACATTTGTTTTTCTGAACTGCTGTACTTCAGGTAAGATCCAATCCTCACCCTGCAGAGCCTATGAGATAGCAAAGTATTTCTACAAATGTTAATATACACTTAAGATACTACAAACAGCAAATTTAAAAGCTGAATATTCTTTTCAGTATTTTCCTCTTTAGGAATGGAAGAGGAAAAAGAACATAGCCTGAAGACTTCTTCCACTCGCATTTACAAAGGATCCTTTTTCTACAAGAGCAAAACTAAACGGATTAGAAGGCCTGCACAACAGCATGCTGTTATTATGATGCATTAGCATGCAAATTGAGACGATGGCTCTCCAAAATAATGCGCTGGCCTATTTATTTAGAACAGTTTCAAAGCAGTCGAAGGAATTTGTCTGATGCATTGAGAAGGAAGTTTTTTTCCCCTTACCTGTAGATGTTATTTCTCCAGTAAAACAAGCTCACCTCACAGCTTAATTGCCTTTTACTTACAGCAGAGCTGAAAAGACCACGAAGGAAATTGCAGAATATTTTCTTACGGCTGTCAACTGAGGTGTTCAGGTGCTTCTGAAGGAACTCGGCAGTGATTGCCAGGGTAATTAATGAGAATGTTTACAAACTGTGAAGGAGACAGACATCAGGCGAGGAAGCAGCAGCACTGACAAGGTGTAATCGTGAGAAAACTAACTTGTAGTGGAAATCAACAATTCGAGAACGAGACTACTGATCAGGTCATATGAGGAAACACGTTCAAGGCTGCAGTAGTAAAGAGATGAGCTTAAAGCATGGATGTTTGAGTCCATTTTATCAGAGACACATCACTGAAGGATTGGAGATGGAAGATGAGAAGGCTACTACCTAAATGAAGGACTTCAGGGAAGTATTTAACAGGATTTTCTTTGTAGTCATACCTAGAATCACAAAAAAATCACATCTAGGTATGTAGTCATACCTAGAATCACAAAATTACCGAATAGCTGGGGCCAGAAGGCACCTGTGGAAATCTGCTCCAAGAGGGGTCAGCTGGAGCAGGCTTCTCAGGCCACTGTCCATGGGTCTCCATGGATGGAGTCTCCACAGCCTGGGCAACCTGATGCGGTATTTTAACACACCTATGCCAAAATTTTTTATTTTAATTTATTTTTTAAGTTTAAACAGAATTTCCTGTATTTCAGTTTGTGCTCATTGCCTCCTGCCCTGCCAACTGGATACCACTGAGAAGAGCACAGCTGTCGTTGCTGTTCCTCACCAGTTCTTTACACATGCTGATGTGTGCTTCACTTGAAGTACAAATTTGTAAGGATAAGAGGATAAAGGAAAAAAAGCAAACAGTGGCTGCTGCCCTTCTGTTAATGCAGTACCACGGACTACCTAAAATTTTATCGAAATAAACCATCTCAACTCTTCCAAAGTTTTCTCGTAAGATCTATTTCCATGAAATTACTCCCCTCAAAATCTTTTAAAGATCGCCCTTTTTTTTTTTTTTAATTAGGCCCACAATTGTCAGAAAATGTTTGTAAATATACAGAGCAACTGGGAAATTCAACTTCTCTTCTGCTATAATAAAGAAATAAAAAGCCCGTTGAGCATCGCAGCTCTGTTCTTGTTCACTGCTGTACAAATGCAGATTAAAACCACAACCAGATATGCTTTGCAAGTGGATCAAGAAAAGACAAGAAAACAAACGTCAAAAGAGAGAGTATCAAAATCAGAGCAATACTGAACCACATCACAGAAATAAATGTCAAGAAACAGAGAACTGAATATAAATCCTGAAGATTTGGCCAGAGGAAGCCTACCCAAGTTTTAAAGCTGTGCTTGTTATCAGCTGGGCAAAACCAAGAGTGTGTTTATCTACCTGTGTCTTAAAAGGAGGAAATCTGCAGACCTGGAGATGCCTATAAAAGAATAATGCTGAAGAAAAGGTAACAACTAGTAGGGCAGAGCTGTTAAGGGATGACAACATGATTTTGCTGTGGAGAAGGAAACAAAAGATGACGTTTAGTTTATGGGTGAAAAAAAATGTGTTTTCCTAGAATTCACATATCAAACACCATATGCTGTGTACAAACATACAATAAATGCAGTGTATCACCTTTCTGGCCACTAAAAAAAAAAAAAAAAAAGGGATTTGATAGCTTGCACAGGAGAACAAATTTCGGCAGGGAGCTTTTTAGCTTCCATGAGCTCCACAAGGCACTCCTAAACCACCCCTCTTTTGCACTGTTGATTTCAGTTTTCCATACCTTACCGTTCCTTAAATGCATTCCATAGGCAATAAAACCAGGATTTTTTAGCTAAGAAAAGGTCTGTAACTGAGCAGAACTGAACATTCACCTCCCATAGTGAAAAAAAATAAAATACTGAAGTGACTCATGTCCTCAAATGCTACTCAAGACAGACATTTGAATGGGTACCAAAATCTTTGGAAGTTAGCACTTGAAAGCATCTGTTGAAGCATAGCCCAAGTGAAGGTATTTTGTTTTGCTTTTTAAGTTTCAGAATAGATGCGAGCATTGAGAGAATATTGTTTTTGTTTCTTTTTTTCATCTTTCACTACTAATGATGCTAGAACCCTAACAATAGCAATAACCAATCTTGTTCTGCATTGCTGTTGATTTCATAAATAATCAGTCTTCTTCCTGGAAGCGTGAAACTTGTCACTCCAAGAAAAGTCTGAGCCTAAATGCTCTGGGACTAGGACAGTTACAGTGGGAACGATGAAAGCTTTAGGTGCTTCTCACTGCGGAAGGACAGCACATTTACACACTTTGAACAGAACCTCTGCTCTGACCAGATGTTTGGAACAAAATGTTCTATTTACCATTTTCAACATGGGCAAGTCTGTGCATGAGAGGCAGCCACACAAGGCACTGAGGAGGCGGATCAGCCATCAATGTGTCTAAAAACATGTTTAGCATGATCTTTTTCTGCAAAGAAAAAAGAAAGACAACTTAAGAAAAAATTCAATTTCAATTAAAAATTACAATACCAAAAGCTCTTTCAGCCTTAAAATCTCTCTACTATTCAGCTTCTGTATCCCAGTCATCTATCCTACGCTATAAAGATAAAAATCACAACTTTTTTCTCAGTGAGTTTCAATCTACATTATGCAAACAGTAACACCACAAAGAAAGTATTGGTACAGACACAATACAATCATACAAAAATAAAAGATAAGCAGACAAACAGAGAATTCCAAGAAACAGAGGACCAGCCAGTCAGGATTAGTTCCAGACGTGCAGTTAAGGAATCCTCTTTTGAAGAGAGATACAATAAATGTGAGAGGAGGTTATTTAACAATGTAGAAAATGGCATTTCAAACATACAGGCAGCACTGAAAAAAGCAGACACTTTAAAAAAAAAAAAAAAAAAAAGCAACTACAACTAATATTCACACATTATCCACATAGTAAATGATTTATATTTTTTTAAAGACAAAATAAGAAAAAAGAGGCAAGGGGAGAATTGAGCTAAGATTTAAAAAATATAACTGAAAATAAAATTAAATCATATGGAGAGGAAAATCACGTGTTTTAAGAGTAGTGTTTTCTAAACTCAAGTGAGCAAGAGCAAATTTCTGCTGCAAATATAAACAGATGGAGATAACTTGTAAAAAAAAAACAGCTAAGAATATTATGGATACAAAGAAAGACTGCATTGGCTTTCACAAGCAGGAAGGCAGAGGATTAAGAATTTCTCATAGGCAGCAGACCAGCTGGTCAGATCACGCTTTCTTCTCACCTTAGCATATGGCAGAGCTACTTCAAAAAGGATCCGTACCAGGGAGGGTAAAGCAGAGCTGGAGGAAAAGCCAGGTTGGTTTTCCAGGAGCTCTGAAACTAACTGCAGCTATCACTTGCAGCTCTCATGCCAAAAATTACAGGGGTAAAGAGGAAATTTATATTTAAGGAGAAAAGTTATATTTAATATATATGTATTTACATATATTTTATTTTGGTAAAGACAAGTTTTATATTTAAGCATCAATATTTTTGTGATTAGTGGCAAATACACAGATCTGTCCCTGAAGCTAACTCCTTTGGGAGGCGAAGAAACCCAAACTCTTTCAAAAAACGCACATCTCAGCAAGACCAGGATGTGCTCTATGTGTGCTGAAAGCCTTCTGGAAGGAGAGCCACAGTGTTTAAATTGAACTAACCGCGGTGTAAGGGTCAGATCATGAAGTTCTGCTCACGCAACGAGGAGCCACTGCTGATGTTACGTGGTCTGGGACTGATGTGAAGGCTCCTGATTCTGCTTTCACCTCTCGTGTTTCATGTACGACAGCACACCAAACGTTTTCTGGCTGCAACCTTTTGCCAGAGCTCACAAAAGGAAAGTACCTGGCCCTGCTTAGGTGGGCTGTGATCCCTTTGGGTTTGACACACTGCTTACAGCAAGTATGGAGAATGCAGGCAGACGTTCTGGATCATCACATCCGAATTAAATCAAAGCTGAAAGACACGTTTGGGGTTTACTGCAACTGGCAGGAGAATGGCAGAGAATGTCAATGTCTTTCCTAACATCTAGTCTGAACCTCCCTGGGCACAGCTTTGAGCCATTCCCACGTGTGCTGTCACCAAATACCACCGAGAAATCAGGTTATTGACCAGAAATCACAGTTCGAGACACACATTATGCATCTGTCCACTCACACCACGTGCTAGCACTTCTGTCCCGAGAGGACTTTGTTTTAACACGACCTGCAGGGACCACGCTGCTATGTGGCATTTGCAGGCTACATAAATTCATGGAGAATTCATCGTGGCTACAAGGTTTATGACAAGGAAAGACCAGGCAGGATAGGAATGCTCACGCATAATTCTATAATTTCAAAAGAATGCTACTTTTTGGTTAAAGTAAGAAAAAAAAAAAAAAAAGTTTGCATCCCAGAAGAGGAGCAGGTTCTTCTCCCTGCTGTGGGTCACTCCAAGTAACACACATTTTCTGGAGGCAAGACTCGGGATCCCTTGGGCAGACGTAGGATATGCACAGCCTATCTTTGTTAGAACCCAAAGCCAGCAGGAGAGCTTCGTTGTGCTGTAAAGGGCTCCTTGGGGCAACGATGGCTGTGAAACCTCGTGGGTTGTTAGCCTGAGATGCCACTGCCGTGTAGTTCACAAGAGGGCAGCAAGGACACAGGCTTTGGGTTTGTACAGCGATAACAGGATGTGTTGCAACCAGCTGACCGAAAAGAGGCACGCAGCATTACCACCACTGCATCACCCTGCCTGGGTGCAGGCATTCTTGGTAAGGACAAAGCTGACAGCAAAGCAAGCAGCACTCTCCTCCTCCCGAAAATTAGGAATGCGGAGAAGGAGCCTAAATAACAGCTTTTCTCGGAGCTAGTCTAACATTTCCCGCTGGGTTCAGAACCTAACCAGAGTGCAAACACAAAAACATCACTCAGACACCATTTGTGATTCAAAAACAGTCAAATAATCTGCCAACAGGTTCCCAGCTCCAAGAACACAAACTGAAAATTAGCAAATGTGAAAGCGGTGGTGAGGGTCAAATGCCTCCCAGCAGAACGAACACATTTCCACACTGCTATTTTCTGTAATCACCTGCTGACACTCCGAACTATTGTAATATTTTTTCTCTCTTTTTTTTTTCTTTTAAATCTTGCTGTTAGCACAGCTACTTGTCTTAATGGCTCTGCTGTCTCAAATCTCCTTGCAGGTGGGAGCAGTGACAAGTTATACCAATGCTACTCTTGTATTCAGAACCCCTGAGCCAACACAAAGATATGTGATTTTTTAACTCTGCAGTGAACAAAACAAGTCCACAGAATCACAGAATGGTTTGAGCTGGAAGGGACCTCAAAGTCCCCCAGTTCCAACCCCCTGCCATGGGCAGGATGCCACCCACCAGATCAGGTTGCTCAGGGCCTCATCCAACCTGTAGGTACCTACAGATGAGTGCCTGCTCACCTGGCCTCCTTGTTTGCTTCGTGCTGCTGCATTTCAACAGAATAACCTGCAACTTGACCTCTACAGCAGCCAAGCTTGGGGCTCCCAGGTCTCTGACAGCTCTGTAGAAACGCTGCAATTAAACTGCTTTGTAAATGAGACATAAAGTAGATAACTGCAATAGCGGGATAGGCTGTGCCATAAATACAGACGGATTCTGACTAAGCCAGGGAATGTCATGGTGATACAGCATCTCTGTGACAAATAGATGGACTGCAGCCAGGTGAACAGAAGTTTTAAGAAAAGTATGACATGATCTCATATCTGTGGAAGCACCCATTTGACCTTGAATAGTAAATTATGACTGGAAGCTCTGTATACATCTGGAAACCATCATGAAGAACGCAGCTCTTGCCAAAAGCATCCCAATAAACCCCATTTTGCATGGGCAACAAGTCTGAATTATTCCATCTGTGACCCAAGAAACGAAACAGAGTTGTGCAGTGTATACCATCAGTGACACTTCACTTGTCTGCCCTCTCACCACTCAGGCAGCAGTAAATCATCAGCCTTCTGCACCTCCAAGAAGCATCTCCTGAAGGAACCATTGCTGGTCAGGAAGTATTTGTCTCTCGGTAGTTTAAGCAACACCAGGGAATGTTCCTGGCCCTAAAACTCAATTATGCATGGTTTTGTATTAGTGTAACCGTGCCTGATTTAACCACTCAGTCTCCCAAATCATTCCAGCATCCCGATTTGGTGTTAATATCAGCTAGAAATCGTTTTCAATAAAGTTTCCATGTAACCACCTTTCTTGAGGGAATAAGAGATGATTAGCATGGATGTGGTCAGACCATTCCAGTTGATCTTTGGACCATGGAACAGCTCCTGGCACTGTTTAGTTAACTAGTACAGATGTAGCTTACATGTCCATCATGTAAATGCCAAAGTCTGAAACCCAGCGGCTTTATTGATGCCATCTGGAAATAATTCAAGCAAAATGACATGCTGTAACAGAACAGTATCAGAGAAGCACCTCTGGGAAGCTTATTTTCAAACCTGGGAGGCATGAGAAAATGGATTCAAATCTGAGACAGATTATCCATGCACTTCCCAGGACCACTTCATTTCACTGCTTTCAAAGAAATGAGAGAGAGGTGTTTTGGGGCACTCTCTATAGCAGAACTAACAAATAAATCACCACTCTTTACCAACCTTGCCCTATGGTAGAGATTTTGCTATGCTGAATAAGATCAGAACAAAAGAATTTCTGAAAGTGACTCAATTTGAAGAAATACCTTTCTTGTTCACGGGTATCAGTGTGCTATGACACGCTGCAGGCAAGCAGCACAAATGTGCAAGTGGGCAGTTATTGCACCTCACCTGGAACACGATGAGCTTGCCATCAAGCAGACAAATCTCAGGCAGCTCTCACAGCCTGGCTGCCTAAACCAGCTTCTCTATGGCTAACAGAGAAATGGTAACTCCAGAGGGCGAGCAGGCATCTCATCCTAGGGTAGCCTTCAGAACAAATTGGGAAAAAACAACTCCCATTTAGCTTCCCTTTGCGGACAATGGACACAGCATGTATAGCTTACAATCTGCTGTTTGACCTTGATAGCTCTAAAGCGAGGCCACAGCTTGATATTCGACAGTGGTGTCCCTTAAACGAAATTTGATTTGATCAGCTTGATATCCCTACATGCAGAAATGGCTTGTACTGACTTGACAGAAAGGGTGGCAGGTTGGTGGGAACAAGTGATGGCCCACAAATGCCTCAGCCAGTACTGAAACAGAAAAAAAAAAATAAAATTTCTTAATTACACCCTCAGTATGAAAATGCTCTGCCCTCAGTAACTTACGGATGAGCTGGAGCCCTCATCACTTCCTACAACAAAGGCTCTTTCCTAGTGTGCTGTACTTCAAATATATTAATTGCTAGTTAACTTAAATTTAACAACAAATTCTTCAAGCAATGCTTCCAAGAATATAGTCATAACCAGAGTCTAAACATTAAAGTTTAGGCCTAAAATTATCTAGGCTTGTGTTTACAGTAGATTTAAGGTTTAATTATATTATTTTATATATCAAATTAGAAACAAATCCTTGGAACAAGCAAATTACAACAAAAGTGTATAAAGAGAAAAAAAGATCAGTACTGCAACATGTACGCCAAAAATTATATTAAATGGAACTATTTTGGAAAAAACAGCTATACCCATAAGGACAACAGTTAAAGTGGTTTAAAAAACAGGCTACGTGTACAAATGTATTTATTTTGTGCAGACTAAACCAACTAACAATTGATTTGTTGAAACTAACACTCTCAACAAGCTGATAAGATTAAAAAATTCAAGGGAAAGGTTATCCTTACTGTTTTTCTGACGGGTAGAAATGGTCACAAAAAGGAAACAAACTAAAACTGTGTGAAATCCTTTAATTGCCTAATGCGTAGATGCACTATTTTGAATTATTCAGACTTTCTTAAAATTGCTTAGATAACACACTGCGTATTACCAATCCCCCTCCCTCCAAACCCCATACAAGTTACACCCAAAGAAGACAGTGGACTTTAGAGGAAAGCACTGTATTAACAAGCAATATAAAAATCCTGTTTCATTGACTCTTACTTGTTGTGGGAAGCACGTCCGTACGGAATGCTCTGTGTATCCAAAAGAAGGCCCTTCAAACACAGCTGTTGGAAGTTTTAGAACTTCTTTCAAAAACTGATCAAACTTTGTAAATATCATTAGTCCATTTGAATCTGATATTTGAGAGAAAATATCTGTAAGAAAATATAATAAAACCCTAGAGTAAATACATGCTTGCTGCAGAAAAGAAAAAAATAATTTCAACTCATTTATACCCCAAGACATTTCTATTTATTTTTTTTGTTGTTGTTAAAAAAATCTGAAGACTATTTCTTATTTTACTTGCTGTCAAGGTAAAATTTACGAATGAACATGTTTGAACATGCCATGATGATATAAATCTTCCTGTTTCCTCCATCCCATCTCAACCAGAGAAAAGACTCTCGTAGTTCACTAACTGGAACTGCAAGAAAGCAGAGGCTGGGATGCCTTGTAAGACTGTAGTTACAGGACACTGCGTCTTCATGCTTATGCCTTCAAAATAAAACTACGTAGAATCCTTTCAGAAACCTCCTAAAATTGAAGAAAAAAAAAAAAGTTGTAGGATCACAAAGTCAAAGCTGTTAAAACTCCTGGTATCTCTAGTGCACTTCAGCAGCGTGTTGGATTTAAGTCGCCCAGCGCTGGAAAAGAGCATCAGGAGCAGGCAGAGTGGCCGAACTGGGGGGTGATGACTGCTGCTGCCAAAGCTAAAACCTGCAAGTCATGGGCTGGGTGAGTGGGGAAGACGAAATCTGATCTCATTTTGTTTCTGTGTGCACTGAAGAACTGAAATAAGAACTTCGATTTGACACCAAAAAAAAAGATTAGTTTTTTAATGAGAAAAAGTGATGCTTTTTAAATTAGCTACGTGGGCCTAAATGCATTTCTGAATCCAAAAAGAGGATCAGGCAGGATGTTCTGCAGCCTTGTGTGTGCATGGAAAGAGAAAGGGAGGGAGGGTCACAGCAGCTGGCAGGGAGGGGGGCAGTTCTGCAGGCATTTCCAGCCCCACGCCACGCTCCGAGCTGCAGGCACACCATGGAAAGACGTGTCCTCAGCATGCTGCTCTGGCATTCCTCTACCCCCTTACTTCACAAGGCTCAAACCCTCCAACCATTCCACGCTACTAACCCAGGGCTCCCAACTCTTACATCTCAGGAAAAGTAAAAATATAGGAAGAGATGGATAGATAGCAATGGAGGAAAACGATGTCATTTAAGGTATTAGGGCTGCTGCATACAGATAAGCCAGAACTGTCCTGGGATCAAAAATCTCTTTGGAAAACACAAATCTCTTGAACAGTAAAGCTTGGCTTCTGATCTAACTGCAGTCGGGTTAGTCTATAAAGGAAGATTTCTCTAAGAAAAGCAGCAATATCAGTAAGACCTAAAATTTTCCAAGATGTGACAGATACCAGAATTCTTCACCACACAGCCCCTGAATCATCTACGAGGTTATTTAAGACACCATAAGAAATTAATCATCAAAAAGGATGTGTTGACAGAAAATAAGCTTAATTTAAGTGATCAAAGCCAGGTCTGTAAAAAAGACTATTTCAGAGAGGCATTTTTCCAGTAAACTGGAGAAATGGCTTCAGACTCCTGAATGAATGAGCCCTTGAAGAAGTCTACAGGTGATCCAACTACCTGGAGTTTTTATCACAGGCTAAATGGACAAGCTTGACGTGAAGGTCTGAAGTCCTTGCTGAATCATCTTATGAAGCATACTAGGAATAGGACAAAAAAAGGAGGGGGAGAAGGGGAATTTGAGGACAGGGGGAAGGCAGATTATTAAAGAATACTATATTTTTAAAAAATTAAGCCAAGCAGAAAAGTTAAGTTTCACCTGAAAACTGAATGATGAAAAAAAAAATCAGGGTGAATAATGTACACAAAAGGAAACTATGGAAATAACTGAAATTAATTAACTAATTAGAGCAAACCCTTCAGAATCCTAAGCCATTCAAGATCAGACTCACTCCAGACTGGCACATTCCCAAAAACTGAAGGTCTAATAATAGATCCGCTAAGGTGGGACTGGCAGAACACGGCCGCAACGTGACGGTACTTGTATTTAAAAAGTACAAAAATCATCTGGGTAAATACAGTCTATTAATCTAATTTCAACAGCATGCAAGATTTAAGTGATTTTAAGGAGAAAGTAATTAAAGCTATGGAAAGAAGTGAAATATGAGATAAAATAGAACAGGCTACATCAAGGGTAAATTAAAAGAAACCCACTAACCTATATCTTGCTGTCACGAAAACGTGGTTTTATAGTCAAAGTGAAGTCTACAAGGGGAAACCTCCACATGGGAAATTACTGGGTGAAATTGGAAAAGATAAAGATTAGTTGGATATAATTAAATAGTCATCTCCCCTTTTGAAGGGCAGTAAATTACCTTAAAAGAGAAAGCCTCAAGCTAAACAGGGGCTAACAGTGGAATTTTTCAAGATCCCACCTTAATGTTACAACAGGTATGTTAATAAAGTTTCCCAATGACAAGGAATTATGCTTTAATTCTCATATAAAGTTTCAATTCAAAGCTACTATGAACTTTTTTCAACAAGAGAGAATATAAAAAAGTTAGAACTGTACCAAAAGGCTGCTCAGTTCCAAAAAGACCAACATAAAAGTGCTCGTTCCACTCAAGATTTCCTTTTTCAAATATTTGTAGAACTTTACGAACAGAGCTCGTATCATCTGATAAACCTGCCCAGTATTTCCCTCCAGAGTCTCTTCAGTTGCTCATAATTTTGCCATAACTGACCGTTGCTTTCTCTGCTAGGCATTTGCCTGATGCATTACGCAGTTATAGGTGAAAACCCCAAAATTTCTCTGAACAAGTTAAAAATAAAGAAAAACAAAAGCAACAATCAGCACCCTCATTTTCTAGGGTCTTGCCTCTGAGTCTATCCTTTCTCAATTCCTACAACATTGTCAGATTTTATTGTACAACTTTAAGAAACAGTTGTTAAATACTATGTTTAACAGCAGTAAAAGCTACAAAAATCAATTTAAAAGAATCAATTTGTGCTTTTTAAATGGTTGCCGTTTTTCCTCGTCTGAATTCAACACACAAACCGAGGTCAGAAGGACAATGCAAGGAAGTACAGGCCAGTCAGCCCCACCTTGGCTCCTGGGAAAATCATGGAGCAAACCCTCTGAGTTGGCCTTCAATGAGAAAGCAATGCTTTCACCAACCTCAGCAAGGTTTTTTGCTTTGGTTTCCCTCAGAACTCAGCTCTGCCAGGGGGGTGTCACAGCCTGGGTGGGTGAAGCACCAATGGGGAAGTGGCTGCTTGGATGATCAGGCTCGGAGGGTTGGGGACAAGGGATCATACCCTGTGTGGAAACCAGTGACAAGTGGCCTAATGCTGGATCTGCCCTGTTTAACGTGGCTACTGGTGATCTGGGAGAGGTGCCAGCGTGCACTCTTGTCAGGTTTACAGACACAAAACTGGGGGGGACCAGTGAGGCCTGCACCAGGCCTCACTGCCCCCTCTGAGGGCAGTGAGGCCTGGTGCAGGCTGCCCCAGGAGCTGGGGGTGCCCAAGGCCAGGCTGGATGGGGCTGGGGGCAGCCTGGGCTGGGGGCAGGGGTCGTGCCCATGGCCAGGGTGGCACTGGGGGGCTCTGAGGGCCCTGCCAGCCCAAACTGGTGCATGGCTCTATGATACCTAGCAAGGGCTGCCATCCAGCAGGACCCAGACAGGCTGGAGGAATGGGCCAGCAGGAGTTGTATGAAATCCGAAGGCCAAATGTGAAGTCTTGAGCAGAAAGAGAGCCTGGCAGCAATACAGCAGCTGTGCTGGAAAGCCCTTGGGGGCTCTGGGTCCCAAACTGAAGATAAGCCAGCAGCACACCAGGGTGGCAAAGAAGGCCAGCAGTGTGCTGAGCAGCACAAGCAGGAACCCACCCAGTAGATCAAGGAAGCAATTATCCTCTTCCACTCTGCATTTGTTAGACCCCCTCCCCTAGATACTGTGCCCAGTCTGGGGACCACCAGAATCACCAAATGGTTGAGAACCACAGAATATGGAAGATGTTCTGAAGTGAGCTCTGAGGACACGGTTTACAAGGTACAATATACAAGGACTGTCAGCAGGCTGGAGTGCTAATCCCATGACAGGCTGAGGAAATGGCACTTGTTCAGCCTGGAAAAGATTAAGACCATAGGAAGACCTAATAACAGCATCCCAGCACCTACAAAGAGGTTATGAAGGACACAGAAAAAGATGCTTTTGGAGGAAGATTTAGTGATAAGGGTTGGTATTGGAGAGGCCCTACGTCCAGTGGAGACACCAGAGGACCCAAGGACAGCCACCAGATAGACTGAATGTCTGTGGTCATTCACTGGAGGCATCTCTAAGGTGCAGGCATGCCTGTATACATGTGTATTTTTGCCACTAACAGGCTTTCATCCTGGTCACCTATAGATTGAACAGATTTGGCAACTCCAACATTTGGTATGAACAAATGAGATATAAGAAGGCCCGTATAAAGCCATACACCGGGCTCGTGCTGTTTGAAAAGATGGGATACCACAAAAAAACAGATATTATTACCACTGCTGCTGCTTTGATCCACTGATTAGGACCGAAACAAACTTCTCCGAAAAACAAAATGCCCCCTCCCCCAAATTAAAAGCCCACCAAAAGGTTAATTCACCTACAGCAGATTAATTTTGGGGGCTGTCAGTATGTGAAACCTAGTATTTTGCGTACAGTGTTGTATGAATCTTTAGGGTGAACTTCAGCAAGCACTAAAGGCTTATCAGCCAGATGGTGGGAGGAAAGAAGGAGCTACTGAGGCAATGCAGCCAAGGAGCACCATACGGGTGGAAATAATGATTACAAAAGTTGGACAGCCCTAAAGATGAGCAGGGTGGAGTCTTAAATTACTCAAAGTCAAGTTTTGTTCGCAATTCCCCTGCAGAAAGGGCATGGAAGGAAACACTATTTACTTCACTGTGCTTGAATGCTAAAATGGAGCCACCCAAATCCACAAACTTCAACATTTTAATACAGTATTGCTTTGGTTTAAAGAAAAAAAAACTATGCTAAAAAATAAATTCCATAGCAATAGGCTGTTTATTACTCCTTCCTTGCACACCATGTAAAGCAACTCCTTCCCGAGGAGCATCATGTCACAGGAAATAATCTTTTCCAGTGAGAGCAAAGCAGTATCATGGAACAACTCCATTTTATATGTACTGTCAGACACTGTATGGTCTGCAAACACACACCATTTGTCCACATTTTCAGAATTTAGAAAGAAAGCCTGTACATATGCAAGTACAGAAACCAAATTACTATCACTCATATAAATTATGAGATGAGAAAAAAAAATATTTACAACTTCCTGGTTTCCAGAAAGCCTCATGATCCAGCTGAGCCTGAGCTGACAGCCTGCTTAGGAAAGGGAGTGGAGGCGGTGGTGTCGGGGGAAGGAGTAAACTGGAAACAGAAGTCGTCCAGTGATGAAATGGGTCAGTAATCAGAGAGACAGGTGGGAAAGACAGGAAAGGGAAAAAACAAGACAGCATATTCATAACGAACAGAAGAAAAAGAATGTAAGAACAGCTGAGGCAGATCAGATCAAAAGTCTGTTTGTCCCAACAGCAGATGGCTGAGGCAAGCACATTCCCCGGAATATCCTTCCACTCACTCTTAGTAGTTTTGCATTCAGCAACCCTTGATGTATTTGCTGTCAGTGAAATTGGTTCAAGGAGTGACCAGGTGATGTGAGTCTGATACGGACAACATCCTTTGGCAAAGTTTAAAGATACTTCTTTTTTGTTGTTTTAACCTGTCACTGCTAATTTCACTTAATGCCCTTCAGTTCTTGTAGTGAGGGGGGAAAGGAGCAGCTGTTTTCTATTCACCACTAACATGTTGCCATGATTTTATAGAACACTATCCTTTCACCACCATTTTTCTTCCCAGGTTGAAGAATCCTGCTCTACAGCCAGTTGTTCCTGATACAGAAGGTTTCCCCTACCTTTGGTGACCTTGCTGTTCTTCTCGGAAAAGATAAAGCAGATCTGGAAAAGGTAGAGTGACAGGTACAAGAGCAGGACTCATTTAAAGTATAAACACACTACTAATCCATACTAACCTTCCTATTTTGTTCTTTATGTCCTTTCTCCCTATTCATAACATTTTATTTTTTAACCACTACTAAACAGTGTCAACCTTTTCTTAGAAGTGTAACTCCAGGATCTCCCAGCTGAGCGGTAACTCCCTTAGCTCACCTTTCTGTGCACGACGTTAGGATTGCACTTCACTCCTCCAGCACGTGCCACTTTACATAAATTAACACTGAAATTCAGCTCCCATTTTATTTCAGTTACTCAGCTTTGTCAGATGATATTACAACTCTTCACAGACTATCTTAGCTATACTACACTCATTGCTTTGTACCAAACTGTGACCTTCCACTGTGTTTTTCCAGATTTATGACGCATTTCAAACAGTTTAAGTCCAGCACTATCCACCAATTTCAATATACAAAAGGATCCTCATTGCTCTTTTTTAGGTTCCTTTTAGCTCATCTTTTACACATGCAAAGACCTCATCTTTCATCCCTTTAAAGCTTTAATGTCTTGGAGTGTTTGATAAGTGACATTCCTGAATACCTTTCAAAAACTCAAGAAGCCTGTATCAGCCAGAACTCCTTTGCCCATCTTTTCTTTTTTTTCCCTTACTTTAAAAAACTCCTAAAATTTCATAAGACAGTCCTCCCCAAAAGCCATTCCTTCCCCATCCCCATGAGAATTTATTTATCCATGAGTCAACTAATTCTATTATTTGTTACTGACTGCTTGCCCAGAAGCGTGGCAGGTATGCAGACCTACAGTTCCCCATGTAACTCTTTCCAAATACGACATTACTTTTCTTTTTCCTAATCTCTTGGTCTTTAGAAACTTTCCAGAAAGACAGGTGAAAAGCTGTTAATAGTTCAGCTGTTTTATTACTCTTCTTGACTCCTAGTGATACTCAATGAACTTTTTCTGCTAACAGTAAGACACTTTTCTTTTTCTCTGCCCTCAGAAGATTTACAAGTACCTACTATCCTGTATCACACTTCTAATTTTCTCTCATCTTACACAAAAAAATGTCCTATTGTCTTTTCTGAAAAGCCAACAGCTTGATTCGAGGGAACAGCCTGGTTTAAAGAAAGCTATTCCCTCCTGCATAGGTTTCCTCTGCTCCTAAATCTCAACCCCTTATTAGTTGAAATCTCCATTTTTTGGATCACTTTGTCAGTCATGCATCTGTAGAATCATTAAGGTTGGATAAGCCCTCCACGCTCATCGGCTCCAACCATCCCCTACCTCTAATGTCACCCACTGAACCACGTCCCTAAGCACCAAGCATTGATACTCCACCTCTGTGTCTAACCTTGCTATGGCACTGTGAACTTTTCAGACATTAACAGCGAGGAGCTTCCAGTCCTTCGGTTTCTCTTCAACTAAGCAGAGACAACAACAGGGGCATGAGGGGGCCTGGGACTGTCCAGAAGTGGCACAGGAATGGCCACAGCCAAAGGTGCACATGAAGGAACTGCCATGACTTTATAAAGCAGTGGCAAGTCAGCATTATGGTTACAGGCACAAATAAAGAAATTTACTTTTGATTCGTAAAATATTATACCTGACAGAACAACAAAACAGATTGCAAAGAGGTGCAGTCATCAGGTAGTGTTCTGTCATAAAACAGACAACACCAAGTGGTGAAGTCAATGCGAGTGACATACTGAAGACACTAAGGAGAAGAACTGAGCTTTAACTACTGAATTCATAAAAGACAGAAGTGCTGGTTTCCAAATTACATGTCCAAAATTCAGGAGCCATGTGCTCTTTTGAAAACAATGCTCCACATTCAGATAAAAGTGCACTAGGAAAATAGGGAGAGCAGATACTGAAGGACAGATCCCAGGAGTACAATGCAAATTAAAGGTCAGCTGATAAGATATGACCAGAATATAACAAAGCTACAGGAAATAGCAGTATTCAGTGAAAGCATTCAAAAGCCTTTCCTCCGATTGGTATGAACTTCAGTTAAGAATTTTTACAAAGAAAGTTACTGTAGCAAAGGAAACAGGATTCAACATAATTAGCAAAAAGAAAGAGAGTTTCAAACAGTATGAAGAAAAGCAGGAAAGCAGGTGGGGGGGAGGGACAGAATGGGACATCAAAATGTTAAGTTTTCAGGCTAGACACATCTGTGAAATAAAGCTATTAAACGAGATGTCCTTCAGGTGAAAGCATCTCACCTAGCCACCTTTTCAATCAGTAACCTGCAGCTTAGCATAACCTCCAGAATGGAAGCTGGGCTTTGTTTGAAAACATCAAAAGTTTATTGATTCTTGTAACATTTAATTCCACTGGTTAATTGACTTTTCCATTAACAGATCACTTATTACCATTTGCTTGATGTTTCAGTATTGTTCCTGCTTACACGTAAAAACAATGCTCCTTTAATGGCCCAAGCTTATGCTGAATTGTTTATCTACTGTAACCTCCTCAAACCTTAACCTAATTGGATCCAAAAATCCTTAACTTTTTACTCAAGAAGTAGTCTCTATGTTTTTCCCAGTGTTTGATCTTGCATACTTAATATATTTTGCATTTGTTAAAAATGCGTAAAGAAGCCTTAAATATCCTCTGTAACATATGCCCGTCCTCTCCTCTTTATTTAACTTTAGTCACCTACAGCTTTGCTTTTAGATAGTTTTGTATTTACTACCAGATGCAAAAATAGCTCCTTCTGATACTGAAACTCTTGCAACCCTACTATTAACATGTTGATGTGATACCTTCGCACTATTTATTTTTCAGATTTTGTCAAGTAGTTTAATTTATTACACTAGTATGTTGTATAATTAAAAAAAAATAAGGAAGTTTAATGCTGTAAAAAAGTCTAAAGAATTACTTAGAGTGAATAACAACAATGGAGATCAGAAGGAATGATTTATTATAAAATAACTTTCATAAAGGGAATTTAGGGTGAGATGAAAAATGACAAACATTTGAACAGTAAAATCTGGCACTGACAATAAGACTAGCTTCCCAGCTTTTCAGGATGGAAAAGGAAAAAAAAAATCCATTAAACAACAGTATGCCTTGCCACTGAGAAGGACAGAAGATGAGAATTACAAGACAAACCCAATGTTTCTGGGTAGCATTGATTCTCTGTAGATAGAGCAGAGAGCTCACAGAAACAAGGTAAAAGAAGTAAAGACTGATGAAAAGAGAATAAAAAGGAGTTCAAAAACAAGAACAAAGAGACTGGAATTAACATAACGAGACAATGCTGAGAGTGTCTCAGCTGAAGCAGAGGATGTATAGAACCCGCCCTCCCCACATGACCTCGAAACAGAGGAAATGGCACCAAGTTTTGACATTACTATCATAAAAATCAGGCCTGAAGTTTTACATGTAAAGAAGTGTCAAAGCACTTTAAAATAAGTAAGTGCACTTGTAAGGCCTACTCAGTAACAAACTCAGTATATTGCATGGCCAGCAGATGGCATGTGCTACACAAAAAACAAACAGCAATTTTCACTTCAGGATAAAGAATACTGAATATGCAAAAAAAGTTAGCTTTCATCACATGTGACCCATAACAGAAAAAAAAACATTTCATAAAATAGTTTGATTTTGCTTTCAAATACTTACATCTTAGTTTGTCCAGGATTTTGCCACCACACATTGTTGCTAACATGGATTTCACTGAAAATACCGTCAACTTCCCATGGCCCTCACTGTGAAAAAAAATTACATGGTAAGTAATTACCAAATAGAGTGAGAAGTAACAAAAATACTAAAAGACCTAGGAAGGAAATGCATAGCCATTAATTACCAAGGTCTATCAATACTATTTAACATTAAAACAGTGCTGCTAACATAAGCATTTTTAATAAAGCAGAATTCTTAACAGGTGTCTTATCAGAAATTAAGTTTTCTTGCAGAATTACGAAAAGTGCACAGATAAAGAGACTAGAATTTGTCTTGTTCATCCCATGTCTCCTGAAAAAAAAAAGTGTTAATCTCTTCCATTAAAACACATTTGTTCATTGTAATACATCTCTGTTCCTCTGCTATGCTTTGTTGGTTGCTTTAAATGTTTACTTCTCAATTTAAACTTTGATGTTGAAATAAACATTTTATACTAAAAATGGTACGGTAACTGACAGCACACTAGAAGGGTATGATATCCTCAATATACCACACGGAACAGGAATAACGTGAACAATGTTTTATTCTAATCTCAGCTAACAAAGCTGCTGTGCTATCAGGACAGGTGGCATATTTGGGGCATCATTTTATAATATCAGCAATTGTCTCTACGGAAGGCACGAAAAAGCCCATTCAGCACCGCACAGCATGCAGAAACCTGCAGTAAATGATATTAGATGGCCACAGCGTGGCGATCTTGGTGTAAATCCACTGTCACTGTGAAGCTGGCAGAAAGCGAGCTTAGTGGCTCAGAGGGGCAAAGGAAGGTGCATGGAGGGGGATCGTGTTCCCAAGCAGAAATCCAAGTCTTTATCCCCGACTATAAACAGCAACAGAGAACAGAGTGAAAAACTACTAAGAAAGCTAAAACTTCATGGAAAGGGAGAAAAAGAATATTTAAAAAGTTCAATTAACTGCAATTAAATGTACAGGACTGATCATCTGTACTGCTATGGTAAATACAACAAAGGGGAAAATGCATCATTAGATTTAGAGGAGATCTAAGAAAACCCTCTAGAATACTTCTTGGTGTAAATGAGATGCTTCTTTAACACTCACACATGGAAGACTAGCACTTGGAAAGTGTGAGGAGTGAAATCACTGGAAGTAAATATTGCCTCATGGCACTGAAGTGGTGACGCGGCCTACTGCCACCGACAGACACGCAACCAGATGGAGACGCCATGAAGTAAACAAGTGACTTCTCTTCCCCCTTCACCCTAAGTTAATATGCAAACGGTGCTGTTGCACGCTCCTGTGGTGAGGTTAAAGGCTCTCGACCTTTCTGAGGCTGAGAAGCATCAGAAATGCAGTATGCTGTTTCTCTAACATGGACTCAGAACGTGCTTTAAACACTGCCTCTATGGAAGAGAGGCAATCTCTCCAGAACTATACATGCAGGAAGATCTATGAAGATCCAGGTACCTTTTAACTTCTGTTTAAAGAAACTAAACAAAGAGAGAAAAAATACATTCTTTTGTTATTTTGAGCTATATAAAGGTTATAAAGTTAGTGACAAGGTAAAGGCCTCAGCTATCCTACTTCATTTCTGTCTTTTCTCTTAGGTAGTTTCCTCAAAGTCAGCTCTATGCCAAATAAAAGAAAACAACAAGACTTTGCTACACCTGGTATCAGAAGTCTGAAAAGATCCATTATTTCATTATTTTCAAGCCTTGACCATCACTCTTGTCCAAGCAAATCTTGGTACCTAACTCAAATTTCTTTCATGTCTCAACTCCTCCCTCCCTTTTCTTTTTAATAGACACTCCTCCTCTCACAACAGAGTTCAGCTTTGAATTAATTTTCAGAAAAAAACAAGTGAGTAAAGGCATCAGTATGTCCTCACAGGACAAAATTTTATCCTTGAAAAATATCACACGGTGCCTTCAGTGAGATATTTCAGGTATTAGACCTGCTTCAGCTGACATTCTGTTTCTTAATTGAGAAAAAAACAAAATTCCTCCCCATGCAATGTGGTAGAGAGGTGTAGTTATTAACTCCTTGCCAATGTTTAAATGGATTTTTGGACCAATGCTACTCGATCTGCTGAATTCCCTATCAAAAGGAAAAAGGACAGAACTTCCAGCGTAATTTTGGAACTCCTGCAGCAACCAGGAGTTCTCAGGATAGGGAACAGGACTTCAAAAAAGACTGGGCCTGTGTAGGAGGCCTCTTCCAGCCTCCTGAAGAAATCCTCCCACCCCACTTCTTCCTAACTCTGGAGGGGGTGCACTCGGAGCAGCGATGCCCTTCATGCTGGCCTGCCCCAGCTGGCTCCTGGCCCACCACCAGCAGGGCTCCACACATACGGGGGGCATCTCCTGGTGGGCCCGTACCACCCCTCACAGTGCTCCACTCACGTTGGCTCTCCCAATGCATCAAACTTGCAAGGTTAGGGGCAGGGGCAAGACAAAGCTCTCACTAAAGCCTCAATCTTTTGAGTGTGTCCCCCAAAACATAACCATTGCTATTTTAAATTCTACATTTCCACTGTGATCTGTCTCAGAATCACAACTCATCAGTTATAACACCTCTCGCAATTAACATGAAATGAGACAACAGAGAAAAAACACGGGTTTGATTCTGCTGTCACAGCAGTACTCCTGCTCTGAGCTGTGTTGTTTTTAACTGTCCTTAGTGAGGTAGCAATTGTTCTGAAGTCTCGGACTTCTTTTTGTGGTGGAAACCTACCTTCTCTTCAGTGACCTTAAGAAGAGGTCATATCAATGGATCAAAGCCTGGACATTATGACACAGAACAACTATTTGGCATATTCAGTGGTCCAGGTTGTTTCGGGTAGAACTCCTTAGTCTCTGTGTCAACTTCCTAGCCACAAGTACTTCTCTACTGCTTGGAGGGAGTGCAAAAGCAAAAGAAAGACGAGACAGAAATAATAGCTGACTGTGAGAAAGATCAGAAAATAAGCATAGGAAGTGCTAAACAACAGCGAAAGATTTGCAGTTGCTATTCAAAGTACCCACAGAAATAACTTCTATTCAAGAAGATTAGCAAACCAACCCCTGAAGAAAAGAGGCTGCAGAAGAAACTCATACAATTGGACACAACAAAGTGCCTCGGCAGCACTCTGAACAGGAAACCAAGCTTCTTCCAGCCAACAAATGAGAATTAGTCTGTATGGGGTCAAATAATTTATAATAGGATCCAAGCTGACTGTCAAAACAAGGCAGCGTTATTAAATGGTCTTGATCCAGGTTCTACAAAACAAGTTCACTTTTTAAAACATTGCTACACCACCAAGTTCACATCAAGTTCATCACAGTCCACAGAACGCAGTTGCATTGCAGTTCAGATACCTGGCTCACAGCACCCTGCAAGTTCCAGAAAGCACTAACTCATCTTTCTCAAGAAAGCACATTTTAAGACAAAGCATTGCTGCCGTGGCAATGTAAATCTCTGCAGGCACTACTATGATATTAAGTGTGAGCACGCAACACACATTTTCATGAAATAAAGAAATAGCATGCAGACAGATTGTCAGAGACTCATGCAGATGCTGGCTGCATTCACCTAACTAAAAGAGAAAAAATTAGTTTAAGAGTACAACTAGAGGAGTTACTAGCCTGTCATATGCTGCTATCATGAAGTTGAGGAGAAGGCTGATGGATTGCTCTACACTGATTTGGTGAGTAGAAGGAAGGCGTTTGTTTAGCTGGTAGTAGATGGATGAAATGATTGTTTCTAGTCGAGACACGTTGATCTCTGTGTTATGATCCAAAGTGTTAAGGCCATTATCTCGGAAGGCTTCAATCATATTCCAGATATCAACAAGATGAACTAAAAATAAAGGAAAAAAAATTAACTTCTGTTCTGTAATGCATACAAGCTTACTTTTACGGTACTGTTTCTGAATACTGTGTTAGCTTCTGTTTTGGAATTAACCATTACGTGTTCATATTCAAAGTGAGAGACAGTCTCAATACTCAGAGTTAGCGTCAGCTAGTGTAAAGCAACAGAGCAGTGCCCAAAGTCCTTGTGGCCATTTTCATTTCAGAAAGACATCAGCCATATTCAAAATCCACTATAAATTGGTTCCAATAATTTTCAACATCCCCATGCTAACTAGCAGTTCAGTGCTGAAGGAGGAACTTGATGTTCCAGTTAAACTACAACTGTTCCCAGATTATCTGGGTGCCAAGTCTAGAGCACAACACTTGTAAACATATATCTGGAACTCCAAAGTGTGTCCCTAAATTATCCCGCTGTATCTTAGCGCATCTAAATGTTAACTTTGTAGTCAAATAGTTTTACAAAACCACACCAAGTGATCTGCAGAACCACATTAAAAATGTTTTAAAATAGTTCACAGCTTGAAAGGTATGCATGATAGTGGGATAAGATGTCTAAGGATCAGCAGTAATCCATCAGTTCACACTGAGCATGATCCAACAGTTACAAAGGACAGATTTATCTGCTAACTTCATATTTTCTTTGTTATCTTTATTACCTTGTAGAAAGGGTTTAAAGTAAGCCTCACCTTTAACATTTCTTAGGTAAAAACACTCTTTCTATTTCTCACATAAAAATCCACAGCAATAAAAATCAAACTATGTATTCACACCAAACATATGCCTGTGGATCACTGCACAGTCCAGACAAATAACATAAATGCACGGTCTCGTCTGTACATACGTGTGGATCAAGGGTTACTCAAGGCATACGTGTGGCATCAGTGAATTGGGCACTAAGTGTGTAATGCACTATAATTACCTTATCTTAATACCTTACTACCAATTAAGAGGTATTTTGAATTCAAAAGCATTCATTATAGACAAGAACTAACACTTTTCCAAAGGAATGAAGAAGTTGCAACCCATCAAACTAAGGGCACTGCAGTTACTGCCACAACAGCCCTAACAGAGACGTATCCCTGGCTCAGCTGCGCTATCAAGGGATCTTCATTCTACAGCTGCACACATCCTCCACTGGACTCCCCAGCCATTCTCCTGCCCTCTGCCACACCAATTTCGTGGCCGTGGGGAGGAGGGAGCTACTCCTGAGTCCATTAGTCCGTCAAGCTTTTTGCTTGGTCTGGTTCAGCAAAGGAATAGAGCACAAAGTAGCATCACCTACTGACCCTCAGATTAATCTTCACTTTGGTGACCTGTTTAAGGTAGAAGGACTACAGAAGAGAATAAGAAAACATACAGTGACTAGTGTGGTGTGAACTTAATTCTTTAAGGCTGCTACACTGCCTGCCACCATGGTCAAATCTTGGACACTTTCATGCTAGTGACCATCTTATGCATCACCAAACTCATACCTGCATCTAGCTGTCTGCTGGCTTGTGCTACACCACGGTGGAACAGGAGCTAAAACACCTTGAGACTGTCTGCAGACAACACTTAGGGCAACTGAAATATGTCAATCTGGCCCATAATTATAGTTTTGTTTTTTAAACATTAGAGACTAAAGCTGAAGAAACCAGAGTATCAGTCAAAAATCACTGCCTCTTTTTAATTGTACATTTAATCTCTATTTATTTTTAAGTTAACAACTACCATTGATGATTATTCTTGCTATACTTGAATTTCATATGGGTAGAATATTCGAAACCATCATGCATGAAAAATTTATGAAGATAAAGAGTAATTATAACTTACGATTACATCTTTTTTGTACAAACCGCAGTTTACAGGCTGTTCGATACGTTGAAAGTCTGATGACATCAAAATTCTGTGCCCCTAAGGATAAAAAAAAGTTTGTGTTTTTTCTTTCCTCTATGACATTCAGCTTATTTGATTACTTCAAAAACGGCATGACTGTTTCTTCACATACATCATCTTTGTCACGTACCCATGACAAAGATTTTCAGGAGGTATTTCAGGAAGAAGTCATTTTCAACAGCGTATTAGAACTGAGGTAAGTGTGAGACTGACAGGAGAGCTCTGAAGTCCCTAAATGGAAGCAATAAATCCATCAAGTTGCAAGCGTGTAAGGAAGAGGACTGCACTGATGTTGGAAGGCATCGTATACAAAAGAGAGAAGAGAAAGAAAAGGGGGGTGGATACTCCTACCACCATCTGCATTGCAGCCCCACCAGGAGAATGCTTTTCTTCTCTCAAATAGATCCAAATAAGGTAAGAAGCAGAAGAAAAAGCAGAGAAGAGAGGATCCTTTCCTCACCACCAACCTCCCACTTCGAGACATTTAAAAGCACGATTATACCTTCAAACAATACCACATCACGAAAGATTTGAACGCTATAACCTATCACCAGCCTGTACCACAACCACCAGCTCCAGCCAGCACTGCAGTTGCTCTGAATGTCACAAACTCGAGCAATTCCAGAAAGTTTTACATGTACTAACCCTCTGCCAAAGACTGAGCAGATCTGCTCATCTGCTGTCCTGAGCAGAGGAGCTGGGGGTGCCCCAGCCCTGGCAGTGCCCAAGGCCAAGCTGTATGGGGCTGGGGGGCAGCCTGGGCTGGGGGCAGGGGTCCCTGCCCACAGTAGGGGGGTTGGAAGTTGATGATCTTTGAGGTCCCTTCCATCCCAAACCATTCTAGGGTTCTACGATCAAATAAGATGATAAATGATGCAGGGATGATAAATGATACTGGTCTAAAGTCCGGTATTGATCATTTTTAATTTGGAAGCAGCCAACAGTCTAAGGCTTGAAAATCCCATTAATCATAAACAGAAATGCCTTTAAATGGGCTCACATTTCAACAGCATTTGTGGCTATGCCCTACAATCAATGGAGTTCTAAGGTGAAGTGAAACAATCCAGTTGCACGTGGGCAGGGGTTTGGATGCACATTGATCCTGCACCTCTTGTTTTCTCACGGGAGCGCATGAAAGAAAGATCTGCTGTAGTGTTTCAGGCTTCTCTAAGAAGTCACAACCTAGATGAGTACAGAACTGAGAAATGGAGAAAACTGTGACTCATACAATCTAAAAGGCTTCTAAAAGACACTTAAAAACAACAACAACAACAAACCCACATCCTGATGAAGTAGGTATCTGACTGCTATATCAGGGGCGGTGCTCAAAGGTGATAACTTATTCACTCCTACAGCACTCTGAATTCAGAAACCAACTTGCAAGCACCTCATTTGAATTACCTTTGTGTTTGCACCCACTGACTCACAGTTGCAAATTTCAAAAATACAGTCTTCTTGCCTTTCCGGTATTTCATGACAAATTTGCAAATACAGTGTCAAAGCATCTGCTTGGCCTCGCACAGACCTGTCCTCTGTCTTGAAGCTGCTGTGAAAGGATTGTTTCTTTTCATTACCAAGGAACGAGGCAAGAAGATTTGTAAAATCAGTGAGGACAATGACCAAGCTCCCAATCCAAGGTTCCCCATGGCAGCTTGCCCAAGAGCAGCACTGGACCAGCCAACACCTGAGGAGCATCTGCATGACAGTGAGGTGCAACAAACATTCCTGGATGATTTCACTGTATGGTCTACAGAATCTAGCATCTGATGCATTTCAGGAAAGTATCTGGCCACATAACTTAAAGTGAAGTATTCTGATTGAAGACTAGAACAAAGTAACTGATTTTGTGCTTCTTAAGCAATATCCTCAAAACAAAACTCTCAATTAGGGTGCCTGTGCCTACCTCTCAACAGACAGAAAGCACTGGAACAGACCAGGAGCCTTCAAAACATGCTTAGTCTAGCAGAATATTTATTTGTCCAGTCCTTGGCTAGCTTTGCACCCCATATCACAGCTACACGTGCAGTACAGCTTGATCAGCTTTCACCCTCACTTCCAGCCCTTACAGCTTTGATGGCTGTTGGGGCTTGGAGGCTCACCATTCTCTATCAAGACAAATACATATATGAAAAGGTTATTTAACAGCTACATGCAAAAAGAAAAAAAAAAAAAGGTCCATTTTCTGTCCCTCTCTTCCTTGTCACAAGCTCCAACAAGGTCACTCTTCTAACAACCCGAAGATAGACTAGGATGTGTTTTCAAGACAATTGAGCTCAGAATCACAGAACGGTTGCGGCTGGAAGGGACCCCTGGAGACCATTTGGTCCAACCTTCCCCCTCAAGTAGTGTCAGCTACAGAAATCTGCCCCAGACACTGTTCAGCTGTGTTCTGACCATCTGCAGGGTGGACGCTGCAGACCCCCCTGGGCAGCCTCTTCCAGGGCTCAACCATACCTAGGGTAAAACTGTTTTTCTCCTCGGATTCAGAAGGAACCTGCTGTTCTTCAGTTTGTGCCCCCATCCTTGTATCCTGCCAGTGGGCTGACAGGTCTGGATCTGTCTTCTTTACACCCTCCCGTGTGTATTCTGCAGGTGAGAAAGATGAGAACAGCCTGCACAGAGCTGTGACCCGTTACACAGCTCCGCAATACTACAAAACAAGCAGATCCTGGGGCAGCACGTCCAGCGTGGGTGAATGCCATCAGATCTACTTTTGTCTCCCATGAGCAGCCACCTACACACTTGCATGTTGACCTACAACAAACGATCGCTGGTCGATTTTGCACATCGCAATATGAAAAGCTCATCTAGAGAGGAAAACATTTATGCATTCACCTTCACAGAGAAATATTCCATCAAGGAACAGATGAAGCTCGAAAACCTTAGATTTCTCATCTGACATATTAAAGAGCTTTACATAGAAAGGCTGTTCAACGTGCCCATACACCAGCACTTCCACTGATAAAAGCCAGCAAGAACCAGAACTGCAAAAAAACAAAAAAACGCCTTAGAACAGATCATTCTTCTGATTATTTATATATCTAGTACACAATCAGAAGAAGTCTGAATATTTTCGTTAACAATTTAGCCAAAGCTAAGAACTAGCAGGTCAGTTTCTGTTGAATAACAGCCACAAATAAGGCTGCCAGGAGAAGTCTTTGAAGACAGCACTCTAGCCAGACATTATGGGTGCTTCAGAAGAAATCTTTTGCTAAAGTAGCTATAAAGGTATCAATTTGCAAGGTAATTAGAATATCAAAGTAAGAATCAGATGACTGAGGACTGGATTAACAGGCTCTTCATCAAATTAGTATCGAAGAGAAAACCGTATGGCCATGGGTGGTTACTAACAAGACGCCACTATCTGTAGGAACACACCTAGCTGTTCCTAAGCGATGGCAAGCCAACAACACTCTGAAGATAAAAGATAAATTTAATGCTCCAGCGTATCAGCCAAAGCTTTTCATAGGTAGCAAGTGCTATTATCAGTTTACAAGATCCTAATGAGATTTCACCTGGGATATCGCGTACAATTGCAGTCGTCTTTGCTGAAGTAGAACTGAGCAGAGGCAGAGAAGGAGATGAGGTGTAGAGCAGGGAGACTGCAGGTGTTTGCTTGTGCCCTCTGCTGAACAAGCCACAGAGGGATATGACTACAAACCCAAACCCAGCTGGAAAGGTGGGGAGAAATAGTGTCCGAGACAGCTCTCACATGAAAGGGAGCAGATATAAATTAGCCAAGAATTAAATTGCTCTTGAAATTATAAGACACTTACAACCACGGTAAGAACGATGCTCTGGAAATCCTCCAAAAAAATAGTAGCACTAACATATAACTTGTTTTAAGTTGTATGTACACTCGTCAGCCTATATTTGGGATTACAGGATGTGCTTGCCTAACCTAGGAGTTTCATTCAGTCCCGTGTTTCGATAGGAAAGTAAAATAATATGATGACACGCAAACGTACAAGCTTTTACATCTAATTGCTCATACCTACGAAGGCTATGTCTCATTCCTTGAATCTAGATTATCTCTAGACAGGCACTTGATTTGTAGCAACAATCGCAGCCTATCTTTCAGAGAATGGTCCCATACAAAAACCAACCCCCTGAAACCCTCAAACTGTTTCACTTCAAAGCCACACTAATGTTGTGGTGCAATTTAAGGTAAAAGATGACCTTTTTATCATTATTTATTTTAGTAGCTGTCCACAAACCAGATTCAGAAATCACCACATACAGGAAACATGAATGTTCCCTAAAAAAGAGCTCTGCATAACCTAGGATGTGTAGACTCTTTAGGCAGCTGTGACCCACCTCTTGTGCTCTCCTCTTCACCAGCACCCAGAATGATTTTCACTGGATGAGGCAGTGGTCTTGTGGAAACAAGATGTAAATGACCTGGCAAAATTCTAAAAATGAAGCTCTCGGTAAAGAATAAATGATATTATCTTCAAATTTCGTACTTACTCATCTCCATGAACAGCTGTCTCTTCTCCGCCATTGTCCTCCTCCTCTTCCCACTCTCCTCAATCATCCTGAGGACAAAAATCGCAAACACTGTTTGTGCTAGAATTTGTTACAAGAGCAACTTACTGCAAACAGGATTATTGCATTCCTCAACCGAAATAGTTTGGTTATATTTGGTAAGTGAGACCAGTAGAAAGAAATAGTCATCTGTCTGTAACTACAGCATTCCACAGCAGAGAGAACTACTTCGTGCTTTTTTAACACCTTGCATACAAATATGTAGCAATATTATGCAAAGTCCTAGGAAGTTCAGAGATTTTGTCTGCAAAACCCAAAGCAAGACAGACCTCTCTACAAGCAGCTAAGCCAACAATGTGCAGAGCCCTACAGATCCGCAGCTTGGGCTCTGGTTTCATCAGAAGGAGGCACGCTGTATTCCTCTCCCTTGAACTTGTAAAGATTTATTTAACTTTGACACCTCCAGCCCAAAACAAAGGCCTCACACTCTTAGGAAAACAGGTTAAAGATACAAGCTTCGAAATAGTGCAACTTACACCACAAGGTAAGGAGGCACAGGACAGTTTAGTACCTCCTACAGCTTATTTCGTTCTATAGCCCTAAAAGACAAATACTGAACTTCAATCAACTGCGGCACGAAAATAAGTGACTAAATTAAGCATTGGTGCAAATTTTCACTCAAAATTACTACATTATTCTTTCGTTACCCGATTCACCAACTATTTAAGTGTTTTTAAAATTAATATATATACGTATATATGCATCTATATATTAATAAATAAATAAAACACCAATCATTCTACAATCACACCAGAATCCAGCTCTTAGGGAGATCGCCAGCTCATCCTCGTGCAGCACGGCAGGACAGATTTCATTAGGCTTAAATGTCAAGCGAGGAACAGAAAGTCGCATCTTGGCACTTAACACACACTCCCTGATTAACAGCATTCCCTCAGTAGTCCTCCAATGCCTGTTAATTATTTTCCAATAAAGATCTCAGCATATATTCGTCTTGGAAGCCACCAAAACCTTTACCCTTACCAGTTCATAAAATGAAAACAGCTGCTTGGTTGTGTAACATAACCTGCAATACACTACTTTGTTATGTTTCTGACTTGAGAAAAATCACAGGCTCAACCTATGTGTTCTGGTTTTTTGTTTGCTTTCAAGGAAAAAAAAAACAACAAAACACAATGGCCTTTTTTCATACATGTAAGAGTTCAATTTTCGAACTCCTTTCAATAAATTCATGTCATTAAGTTAAATGGGCATCTGCAAAATCAGCATCTTGTCTTCTCAACCAAGGCTCTTCGCCACGCGTTCTCTCAAGCTGTGCACCGAAGCACCAGTTCCAAAAGCCAAACTCCAGGACATGGTGCCTATGGGATTCACTGTGTTCACCCACATATTCCTGCTACCCTCACACACCGCCCCAAGCCTAAGAGCAGTTTTTCAGTGCTGATATCCCTTTACTTCCCCATCCCATGAAATACGTGTGTCATCTTGAAGAACACCAGTGCCTGCACCAGTGAGCAGCTCTCTTGCAAGCACCTCTCTAAATTCCACAACAGATGGACTCCGAGGGGTGGATTAATTACTTGGTCTCTTAAACTGTTTTTAGTGAAGACTATTTTATGAAGACATAAGGCACAATACCACTTGAATCTTCTGCAACAGCAAAAAACCATCACGATACCGTTAACATCTGCCGGTCCTTGGGCTAAAGCTGCACGTTGCATCGAGTGCTGCAAATAATTGTGGTGCTGTTAGGTAGCGTGTACACATGAAGCCAAGATATTTCCGTAACACCAACCTCTTTCCCTACAGACAATGCATTGCTTTGCAGTTACCAGGATTTTTATTTATTTATTTATTATTATTTTACGAGGTCATTCAGGCTGCATGGACCACGGCTACGGAACAGTGCCCTACGTAATTCATACCCAGATTAGTGATGCTGACCAGGCATGCAAGCTTTTAAAGGAGCTAGCACCATCCTTTATTCTCTCTGCAAAGCAAAAGCGTCTCATCTGCCCAGTGATGCCCTTGAAATGGGATGTGAACAAGCCAACTGGCCTCTCCACGCTCAGAATGTGCGCAGATAAACATTAACTATGATTAACACAGCCCGACTGACCACAACTCAGGAACTAATCACTGTGTAGATTTTTCAGATGTGGTCGAAACGTGGTCAATGCAACTTGACCACGTAATTCTGTAATAATTCTGAACACCTGGTCAATGGAACCGTTCTCATTCTGTCACAGAACTTCGGCTTTTGACCCGAAGCCTTCCAGAACAGTAACTCTGATCAACTTGTTGGATGGCAGTAACAGAAAATCCAGATAAAATGATTAAAGGGGGTTGGATGAAGGAACATACTTGGTCACACTTAAAAGCATTAATCATTTTATTACTGTTCTAATGAGAAAATAAAAGCTTCCAATAGGGCCAAAGCCAGCTTGCCAAAGCAGTGTCGTGTCTCCAAGAGGAGCCCAAAGCAGATGCCCAGGGAAGAACACGAGAAGAACCAGGGGTGCTTCCAGCTCCAACTGCTCTGTGATGGAACTGGAAAAGCCTTGGGCAGGAAAGCACAGAATGAACAAGAAATAAGGACAAAGCTGGGGGTCGCAGCTCTGCACAGGACTAGCTGGAACGGCCGGGAGCAGCAAGGCATTACACGTGCGGCAGTGTTTGATGTGAACCAGCTGAAAGACGAGGGGTGAGGATCACAACTGCTACAGGCAGCAGAAAAAACAGCTCTTCCAAAATACAGTTAACTCAGAATTTAAGTTTTACTGTAACAATGGAATGTAACTAAAGGCATGTGACCTGTTGCTGTTCACACATCTGCTGACGCTTCCTGAAGGTGTCAACTGCTACAAAAGTTGGAACTTCCAGGTGAAAAGCCATGCAGGAATCAACACTGATTCAGAAAATTAAATCATAACAGGATTTTATATTATAACTACCCTGCATGTTAATCAGACCTTTATAAGAACAATGCTGAATATATCATAGCACATGTGTCAAAGGAGAAAGACACAACTCTGTGTAATCTTACATGCCTCTATACTGGACAATAAAATAGCAAACAAAATCCAACTACTAACGGAGTCCTCCTAAACTTCCCAATCATCAGCCTGCATTCTTCAAGATTTCCTTCAGCAGACACCTTGTTCACCCTCTGGTCATTATCATTTGTGATGTTTAGGACTGTGAGAGAACAGAGTTAACCTGGGAACAGGGAGACCCCAAGGAACATACCCCTGACTCTTCAGCTGGATTTCTCTTCTGGGCAAGAACGTAACCTTGCTCTTACAGAAGAGAGGGGTCCTTCTCCCCTCCACTCCATACTGACGTGTTCTTAGCAGTAAGACAATGCATCAGTCTGGTTTTGTTTTGCTACCCCTTTCCTCACCCCAGTGTTTTCCAAGTTAAACATCTGTATTCTGCGAGATGAAACCAACCTGTGGGTCTTTTCCTGCTTGCTGCTAACGAGACCCAGAAGACACGGTCACATTATTGCTATTCTCACAAAATGCCCCGTTTGTCCTTTAACTAAAAAGCAGTCTGGGCAGATAACCTGCTCTGCTTCTGGTCACGGTGATGTGACAGTGAGTCTCCACGGTCTGTCCTGGATAATTTCTGTAGGTATTTCTTCCTCAGAAGAAGCTGCTCTGTAACCTTGAGCAATCTGGAGAGGACACGTGCATTATGACAGCCCTCATTTCACTTAAGGACTAAGAGGATGTTCAACCACTGCCTTTTTTCCTTAGAGGCTGCTAAGACCAACTTCATTTGAATTTGCATGCCAGAGCCAATCCTTCTGGCTGGATGTGTCCCAAAGTTTCAAGGATTCTGAGAAGCACGGAGAGCTGGAAGTAAAAGCATGTTCTACAGGTTCTGGTCTTCACATCAGTCCTGGCTCTGATAGCACGGGCTAAATTTACACTCTCTATCTACCAAAGGTGGAGGACTTGAAAGGCAGAACTTGCAAGAGAGCGCACAGATGCTCTGTTGAAGTCTGACTCAGAGTTTTCTCCCTACGATAGCAGCACAGTGCTTGAATTTAAAGCGAGTGTGGTGCTGCTTCCACAGCACACAGCTCTGCTTTACGTCAGGAGGCAGAAACCTTGTTAAAGGAAACACAAAATCAGTAAGACGAACCCATTGCTGGCAAAGAGCTTATCTTTTATCTGCCAGATAAGTTGGCAGAGGTGCTAATACTGAGGTCTAAAAGTCTTAACAGGCATGTATGCGGGAGGTGAAACCAGAAAGGAAGGTGTTGAAGTTCCTGCTGAAGCCAGCATCTGACGCTGTGGGTCGCATTTACTCATTTAACTTCAGAGATAGTGAGAGCAAACCGCAACCTGCTCCAGTTTCAGCTCGTGCTGTCATCAGGCATGTGCTCAGCTGATGTCTCCAGGCATTCAGAGCAGAGGCAGAGGCTGTCAAAAATTACTGAGGTGTAGTATTATAATATTTATTATTTTTTTTACTACAACAGAAAGAGTTGTACTAAGACCTACGGGAGGATGAGTTCAAGTTGCCTATTATTTACATTTATAATGTTGAGAATTAGTAGGAAGTATGTGCACTAAAGTACAATAGTCACTAATGAAACCACTTATATTTATACATGATTCTTATTGAATATTCTAAAAAAAAAAACCAAAACATTCAATGCAATCACTTATTTGTATATACTCATTGCAAAAAAAAAAAAAGTAAGAACAAAACAAGTACCTTACTAAAATATCGTGTAGGATGTTTTGTGCAGACCTTCAAAAAGAGTTCTCATTTATCCATTCCTCTCTTCCCTCTTCCAATAACACTGATTGCCTCATGAATTACCTCTATGACAAAGTTAGTATGAAAGATAACATAAATTCCATACTGATACAGCTGGGAACTGCTACTGTTACTGTCACTATTTGATCAATCTGCAGTAGAAAAGTAAATCCAAACATTTCTGTTATTCTTTTTTCCCCCTTTTCTTGTTTATATTCCATTCTTCTATTCCGCAGTTCTCCCTTTTCTTTACCTT